AAGCAGGATGAGTGTGTTGGAGACAGTGCAATTGGCACAGGACAGAGCAGAGTTTAGGGCTGTTGTACATAGGGTTGCTATGAGTCGCAAGCGACTCGACGGCACATAACAACAACAACAGATCACATTGAGGACTCTGTCCATCTTTCTCCCTTGGAGCGGTTGGTCAAGTGAACCATCTGCCTTTGGGCTGGCAACACAATTCCATATTCACAAGGCCACTTAAGTCAATGACAATAAAATTATGAAACACAGAATACATAAATGCTTTAGCATAATGGTGAAAGTTGACACCCAAGTACTCTACCCAGTAAGTAGGCCACCAGAGCTCAGAAATGAGGAAAGTATTATTATTTCTAGGGAGCTCTGGTGGCCTATGGGCAAGAGGCTGTCCTGCAATCCCGAAGGCATGCAGTTCGAGGCTACCAGCTGCTTTGTGGGAGGATGAGCAATCTCTCTTGTGCAATTAACAGCTTCTGAAAATCCACCAGGGGGTCAGCTATGGGTCAGTTACAATTTTATGGTAAATAACAAGAACCATTATTTCTGTTTTGTTGCTTAATTATCTCAACCAACTCTTGGGCAATCTTACTGACACAAAATTATATACTTCTCCCAGAGTATAAGACAAAGCCAGGTACCATTCTTCAAGAAAACGACTTTATTTTCATGTATTTTCTATATTCCCCATAGGGAGATCTGGTAGCCTAATGATAAGCAGTTGCACTGTCAATCTTAGAGCACATAGTTCAAATTCACCAGCAGCTCCATGGAAGACAGTCAATCGCATTCTGTACAATTTATAGCCTCTACAAACCCACTGGAGCAGATGTCATTCTTGCGGTCTCACAAACTGCCCACTTGTACTCAGCCAGTGGTGTGAGCTGTGCCCGATGAGGCTGCAGATACAGCCAGGAGCCTGCCGTCACCCTCCAGACTGCATCACAGTGAAGGTGACATTCAACTTGGATCTGGCCCAGAAGGAGGCCAAGAAAGATGAGGCCAGAGCAATGAGGAGGCGCTAATCATGCCCTCTGAAACTGTGGCGGTGGACTGGAAGAACCCAAATGAAGTGGTACCAGTTAGCCAGAGGAGAACCTGGTGCTGGTGCAAGTGCTTCAGACTGGTGTTTATGCTTGCCAGTGTCATTCTGAGAGCTCCGTACCTGTACAAGAATGTTGCTCTTCAACTAGATGTAGTGTACTACTGTGGGAGCAAGTACGTTAAAGATATCATCGTCTTAAATGAGGTCTCTTCCCCAGAAGCTCCAGCTGATCACTACCAAACCACTGATGAAAACATCAAGAATTTTGAAGAAGAGAAGGTGGAGTTCATCAATATGCCTTTCCCGGAGTTTGCAGACAGTGACCCTGCCAACATTGTTCATGACTTTAACAAGAAACCTTATCAGTTTATTTGGATCTGAACCTAAGTGCTGTGTGATCCACCTGAACACTTCCACTGTCATGCCACCCAGAAGTCTGCTGGAGTTACTCGTTAACATCAGGGCTGAGACCCATCTGCTTCAGCCCTGATTCATGAGCACATGGTTACCACGGATCACACTGATGACACCACTCACTAGGGTTTCTTTATTTGTCGACTCTGCCATGACAAAGAAATAAGAGTGCAGCACAGAGAAACTACTAGAGTTGTGCAGAAATGTGAAGTCAGCAATTGTGGCACAATTCGGTATTTTGAAAACAAATTTGCCTGATAAACTTTAATTTGCTCCTGAGGAGTCAAGAAGACAGTCTGAAGATTTAATTCAACAGCATAACCCCATTTTTTGTATCTTATGCAGTGATTTTTTTTTTATTATTATTAATTTAGTGTTGAGGACTTTCATTTATAGGGTCACTATGAGTCACCTACGACTCAAAGAGACTTAACAAAAATAACACCAATATAGAGATCAGTTGGCCTAATGGAGAGAAAGTGATGCTATCAAGTCAAATGTGGGTGACTTCTAACCCACGGCCCTCAGACCTGTTTTTCACTGTTTTTGTTCCAACATTCTTCTAGGTGGTATAGCCCTGGCATGTGCACTTGCTGTACAGAGGTAACTGTGGTCGATGTAAAGCTGAACACTGTGACACTGATGTGTCAAATGTGTTAATGTTTACCCATGGTGGACAGTGTTTGGTGGTGCTCCCTGATTAAAACAAGCTTGGAAGCAGGAGTAGCATCCAATTCCATAATAACTTGAATCCAGAAACCCTATGAACCTGGAAAAAGGATGAAAGTCACACAATTGTTGAGGACTTTTGTTCACAGGGTCGCTATGAGTCACCTAAGACTCGACGGCACTTAACAACAACAACATAATTACTAATTTTAATGAAAATTTACAGAGACTTTGGATTTCCATTCATTCATTGTTGCACTTTTCTGCCTGCCCCTCTCCCCTCAATACACTCTCTTTTTGAAAAGTAAAGGAAAAAATTCTTTCATTGTTTTACAATCCCTCCCCCCAGGTCCACTCCACTATGTAGCCTTCGTTCTGGACTCCTGTCATGACAATAATACCCAATCACACATCTCTTTTAAACAGTTCTCTCCGTCATCTGCTTCAATGAAGTATACATTATTTTTCCCATCTTTCTCAGTCTTCCCCCAACCTTGATATCAGTCCCACTCTAAAAAACAGTGGCACTATGCAGTATTTGTCCCTTTGTTACTGAAATACTTCACTCGGCATAAGGTCTTCCAGGGTCACCCATTCTGAATAATATTTCATGAGTTGCTTGTTTTTCAATGCAGCGTAGTATTCCATTGTGTGAATATACCACAGTTTCTCTATCCATCCGTTTGTTGACGGGCACTTAGGTTGTTTCCAACTCCTTGCTATTGTGAACAAAGCTGTGCTAAACATGGGTGTGCATATATCTGCTTGGGTGGCAGTTATGGTCTCTTTGGAGTATATTCCCAGTAGTGAAACTGAGTCAAATGGTTTCTCTATTTGCAACTTTTTGAGAAAGTGTCACACCACCTTCCACAGTGGTTGCACCATTTTACCCTTCCACAAACAGTGAATAAAGGTTCCAGTTTCTCCACAACCTCACCAGCATTTGTTGCTTGCTGTTCTGTTAAATTTTGTTATTCTTACTGGGGTGAGGTGATATCTCATAGTTGTTTTGATTTGCATCTCTTATAGAGCTAGGGATTTTGAACATTTCTTCATGTGCTTGTTGGCCATTTGAATGACTTCTCTGGTGAAGTGTCCGTTCATATTCTGTGCCCATTTTTCAATTGGATTGTTTACCTTTATCTTCTTGTGGTGCTCAAGTATTTTGTAAATTCTAGATATAATAAGTCCCTTATCTGACATGTCATTACCAAATACTTTTTCCCAGTTTGTGGCTTCCCTTTTTACCCTGTTGAAGAAGGTTTTGGATGTGCATAGGGATTTGATTCTTAGAAGGTCCCATTTCATCTATTTTATCTTCTTCTGGTTGTAGATTTTTCAGGATGCTTGGAAGATTGTTTATCTTGTGGATTAGGACTTCTAGAATTCTTCCAAGCTTTTCTCTAATGAAGTTTATAGTCCTTGGTTTTAATCCTAGGTCCATGATCCACCTAGAGTTGGTTTTTGTGATGGAGTGAGGTGTGGATCTTGCTTGAGTCTTCTGCAGATAGTTTTCCAATTCTGCCAACACCATTTGTTAGAAAGGCTGTCATTTCCCCACTTAAATGATTTCATCTCCTTGTCAAAAATCAGTTGATCATAGGTAGATGGGCTGATTTCCAGGTTCTCAATTCTATTCCACTGATCTATGTGTCTGTCATTGTACAAGTACCATGCTGCCTTAACCTCCACAGCAGTGCGGTAGGATTTGAAATCACAGAGTAAGATGCCGCCTATCTTTTTTTCTTTTTTAATTTTATTTTATTATTTTTGTGTGCATGTACCGTCAAATCAGATCTGACTGGTACAGGAGGAGATTGCCCCTCCTTCCCCCGCAGAGCATCTGGTGGATTCGAACCGTGCACCTCTGGGATTGTAGTTGCAGCTTCTTGCCACTACTTTTTTTCTATTTTTAAGAAGTGCTTTGCACGGTGATTATTTTTAAAATCTTTCATGTAAGTAGAAAACTGGACTTGCTATCTTTTCATCTCATTAATTCAATTAAAGCCATTATCTTAAAAACAAAACAAACCCCAAACAAACCCACTGGAGCGTCAGCAACAAGTCAGTTCTGACTCGAAAGAACCTAGCAACATCATATTCATATTCTGTTAGAACACATAACTAGTACATTTTGACTAACCAAATAAGGAAGTCACCTTTGTGCAACCCATGACACTTTGCTCCCTGTATGAAATATTGCGGTTAAGAAACTTATCAGGTTTCCAATAGGTAGTCCAAGTTCAGCCAAGGACAATGGAACTGAAGAATCCCTGAAAGCAGACACCTCTAGAAAAAGCCTCCCCCATCTTAATAGTGCATATTTTGTACAAAAAAAAAATATTGTTGGCAAAAATCATAAGTGACATCTCAGTGATACAAACTATTACATATCAATAGAGGCAGAAGAGGGAGGCCATGGTGAGTTACCTCTTTGCAGTCTTTTACAATTGGCTGTATCACACTGAAGTCCTGATGACTGCCACTCATAGCACTGCTTGTACTTTTATTCCTTGAATGCCCCTTTTTAAAAGGGATCTTTCCACCTGGCAGAGGCTCTTGTGTGGGTGATGTTGGAGAACTGGATAACACAAGTGTCTTTAATGCAGCTACTTCGGCTTGAAGGACATCAATCTTAGAAAAAAAATAATTACAAATAATTATATAACTAACCACATTTTACGACAGCTATAACTCAGTATCAGGAATATGGTAGATACATTTTCTTTTCAGTGACAGAAATTAATATGTATGTCTTGTGACGTAACAAAAACAAAGTAAAATGAAATTTTTTTTTATTTTGCTATATGACTAGGATTCAGGGGCTATATACAAAATCATATGATATTTTTTTAAATGACCAAAATGTTTAACACTTAATTTGTGTATTTTCAAAAACTTCAAACTATAATAGCTAATGATGAGTTAATTTGTAAAATAGTGAAATCTAATAAAATAAATGAATTTTCTTGGCAAACCAAGAAATAAAACTATAAACTGTAAAATGTGATTATATAATCCTTTTACTAAGATATGATTCATACAAAATTCTTCAGATCAACTGGTTCTTCAGGGGCTATATACAACATCAAATGATATTTTTTTTAAATGACCAAAATGTTTAACACTTAATTTGTGTATTTTCAAAAACTTCAAAATATAATAGCTAATGATGAGTTAATTTGTAAAATAGTGAAATCTAATAAATTCATTTTCTTGGCAAACCAAGAAATAAAACTATAAACTGTAAAATGTGATTATATAATCCTTTTACTAAGACATGATTCATACAAAATTCTTCAGATCATTTGGTTCTAACGTAAATGAATAAAAATGTACATTATTAATTTTATCTACTTCTTGTTGCTAGATGTTGATTTATAGTAATTTTCTGAACAACAAAATAAAACACTGCCATCCTCACAATTTCTACTATGTTTAAATCCCTCTAGTGGAAGGCCAACTTCTTTTTCCTTTACCCTCCACTTTATTAAGCATGATGTCATTCCCCAAGGACTAACACGTCCTGATAATATGGTCAAAGTAGGTAAGAGAAAAATCTCACAATCCTTAATTCTAGGAAGCATTATGGTTGCATTTCTTCAGAGACATCTTTGTGTGTCCTTTTGCCATTCCATTTTTCTTTGCCAGCACCACAATTCAGAGGTAATAATTATTCTTTGGTATTTCTCTTTCACTAATTTTCACATGCATATGAAGCAACTTAAAATATCACACTTTGTTTTTAACATAATATCCTTTCTCTTTAGCACTTTAAAGAGATCCTGAAGCAATATAGAATTTGATTTTTTAATTGTTAGTTCCATGAGCATTTCTTAAGCTGAAAGAACTAAAGAATTAATTCAAGCCACGAGCTGCAATGCTTAAGGATGCTATGGGTAGGATACTGAATGATTCAAGAAGTAGTAAAAGCAAATGAAAGGAGTAATCAGGGTCACTGCACCAAAAAGAACTGGCTGACACAGAAAAATTTCAAGAAAACAACAAATGAGTATGAGGCAACGGTGTTGAAGGAGGAAGTGCAAGGTTGCGCTGAAGGACCTGGCAAAAAATAAAGTCCCAGGAATTGAGGGAATCCTAATAATACATTTAAGTAAACAGATGCTGCCTGTATGAGCTCATCGAGTTGTGCCAAGAAACCTGGAGGACAACTACCTGGACAACTGACTGAGAGAGATCCATATTTATTCCCATTAAAAAAAAAAAAAGGTGACCAAACGGAGTGTGGAAATTATCAAACAATATCACTAATATCACACATTAGCAAAATCCTGCTGAAAATTATCCAGAAAAGACTTGAACAGTACATTGACACAGAACTACCAGAAATACAGGCTGTGTTTACAAGAGGTCGTGGCACTAGGGGCATTATTACCAATGTCAGATGATCTTGGCAGAAGGCAGAGAGTATCAGAAAAATGTCTGTGTTTCATTGACTGTGCAAAGGCATTTGACTGTGTGGATCACAATAAATTGTGGCTAACCTTGAGGAAAATGGGTATCTCAGAACACTTGATTGTGCTTATATAAAACCTATACTTGGACCAAGAAGTAGTCCTCAGAACAGAGTAAGGAAACACTGCATGGTTCAAAATCAGGAAAGGAGTATGTCAGGGATACATCCTGTGCCCAGGAAGACATCCTGTCCCCAGACCTTTTCAATCTGTATGCACAAGAGATCATTTGGGAAACAGGGCTATGAGGAGGAGTGTGACATCAGGATTGGAGGAAGACTCGTAACAACCTACGATACACAGATAACTGAGGAGGACCTGAAGCACTTGCTGCAGAAAGTCAAGGACTATAGTCTTCAATATGGATTGAAGCTCAATATCAAGAAGACAAAGATTCTCACCACTGGACCAATTGGCAGCACCGCATTAGAGGGAGAAGAGATTGATGTTATTAACAATTATAGCTTGCTCAGACCCACAATCCACACTCAGCAGTAAGGAAATTAAGAAATGAACTGCATTGGGAAAATCTGCTGTCATGGACTCTCCAGAGTACTGAAGAGCAACAATACAATGTCAGTCTAGATACAAAGGTGCACCTAATCCAGGCTATGGTCTTCTCAATTATGTGTTATGCTTCAGAGAATTGGACAATGACTAAGGATGACAGAAGAACAGATGATGCCTTTGAGTTGTGGTGCTTGAGAAGAGTCTTAAACATACCGTGGAATGCCAAGAACAAATAGGTCTGTCTTGAAGAGGGTGAAACCAAGTCTCTCCTTAGAGGATAGGACTCCGAAGGTCCGCCTCATTTTGGGCACGTGGCCAGGAGAGATTGGTCCTTGGAGAAAGGCATCACGCTCGGAAAGGTGGACGGACAGCACAAGAGTGGAAGACTCCAGATGAGATGGACTTATACGGTATCTGCGGCGATGGGGGTTAAGAGTGTCGGAATTAGTGAGACTGGCTCAGGACAGGGAAGGGTTCAGAGCTACTGTACATAGGGTCACTATACACTACAGGCAACTCAATGGCACATAAAAACAATAACAAAATATGGCAGGTTTGGAAGCAGGAGTGGCATCCACTTCCTAAACAACATGCCTCTGGAAACTCTATGAACTTTGATAAATGTCAATAGCTGTAGAGTGGCCTCAGGCCTTCTGTTCAAAGGGTCACTATGAGTTGTGCTGGACTCAAAAGTAATCAACAACATTTTCATGAGCAGTGATTAGACCCAAACAAAATAAAGTCTTTGACATCAACCTTTCCTCCAGTTAGCTTGTTGTGCCTTCAAGTTGAGAGCTCATAGTGACCCACTAAGCAACAGATTGGAACTTTGCCCTATACTGCAACATCCTCACAATCTCTGATATCCTCAAGGCCACTGTTACAGTCATTGTGTCAATCCATCCAGTTGAGCATCTTCCTCTCTTTCACTGACCCTTTACTATTCACAGCATGTCTTCTTCCAAGGACTGGTCTCCCATCACAACATGCTCAAAGGATATGAGAAGTTTCACCATTCTTGCCTTTAAAGGGTAATGAGGTTGTACTTTCTCCAAGATGAGTCTGTTTGTTCTTTTGGAAGTCTATGCAATATTCAGTCTTTTTTGCCAACACTACAATTCAAACACACTGATTCTTCTCTGGACATCCTAATTCATTGTCCAACTTTGAGAAACAATTACAAACACTATGGAACTTTGGGAAAATCTTTGACAGCAGGTTTTCCTAATATTAACACTTACCTTAATACAGTATATTTGTTGTGAGAAGTTTTGTTTTCTTCATGTCGAGGTGTAATCCACACTGAAAGCTTTAGTTTTTTAAGCTTCAACAATTAAGTGTTTTCTTCAAGCAAGGTTGTAAAATCTGCATAATGCAGGTTATTAGTAAGTTTTCCTTCAAGCCTGATGCCTCATTCTTCATGCAGTCTGGCTTTTTGGATTATCTGCTCAGCATACAGACTGAATGTACAATTACTAAATTGGGATTGGCTACAACTCTGATGTACATGTTTCCTGATTTTAAACCAAGTTGTACTACCTTATTCTGCTAGTATTCATTTTCTATAGCTTCCAACTCCACTCAAACTCTAATAAATGTCAACACATCTTTGAAACAATCATAAATAAACTACATTTCATCCCATGAGAAGTGGTACAAACTTACTTTTCCTTGTGCTTCCTTTAGCTGTTTTTCTGCTGTTGCCTGCTTGACATTAGCCTCTCGTACCATCTTATGAGCTTCCTGAAAAAGTTAACATCTTAATCTTGGAAACAAAGATGTGTTATCAAAATCAAGATTAAAAATAAGTGTAAGCAGTAGCCTTCAATAAGTTTTGACATATGCCTGTCTAATATCTCATTTTTATTGTTCTGTTTTCATTATAGTCTGCTACATGACAGTGTTTTGAATAGTAAATCAGAACACTGAACATCTGCAAGTGAACATCTGAGAATGATAACATCACAAGTTATGTGTTGCCAATGTATGTAGTACATATTACTCATGATAAAATGCATCAAAAATCCCAACAACTGACTTCTTTAAGTGTGGGTCTTCGTAACTCAACTACACTGTTAGTCAGAGACTATTTCTATTAAATGTCAACTACTAAAACAGTAATCATCAGATACAGCATTATCTTTAGTACTTATTATCACTGAGGCAGCCACATTGTGTTCAATCATTCTAATCAAAGCCTGCATAAGGGATATCAAAGCCAACTCTTTCAAGTTAGATTTCTGTAATTTAGCGACACTGTTCAATTATATAAGTATTTATATATTAGTCATAGCAGGGATGCACACAAAAGTTAAGTAAAAAATTAACACATCAGTAAGTTAAACTAATAGACATGATCACTAAGAAGCCTTACAAGAGCCAATGAAAACACTCACAAAATGATGTTAAAGTGATGATGTTTGTGCAGAGCAACCTAAAAAGGAGTTTACCTTTTAATAGTGTCTTCATTTTTTTAGTACAAATATGAAACTCTAGGTATTTAATTTCTTTTTATTTATTTAATGCTTATCCATCGCATCTGTTTGTGAGGTACTGTTCTAAGTGCTCATCAGACACCAGGGAAGCAGACAAGGTTCCTCATCTAAAGGAGCATACATTCTGATTACATTCTAACAGGCCAATAAACTGTCAAGGTAAGAGTTAAAAATTTTATTTTAAGTGTAATATGAAGCTTTACAGTTCACAGTATTGTTTCAAGGAAAATAACCAACTTTGAAAGTGCTTGATAGTTCATAGACATTTACTAAAAATGGATGAGAAATTATTTAAAAAGTATCTTACTGTCTTTTTCCATGTTACATATAAAGCATTCTTTTAACTAACTTCACTTGATATTATCTCAAAACCTGAGACAATGCAAAAATAAGTAACTTTATTATCTAAGTATTTGATACTTTTAAGACAAATCTGCTATAGAAAAAATGTAACTATGCTCAAGAATATTCATTGTACATAAGAAACTCCACATTTCAATTTACAAGTTATTCAAACTGTACTCATTAAAAATATCTTTAATTGTTGAAAACTGTGCAGACACACAAAATCCAAGGAAAAAACTACTTAAGACAATATAAAACTGCTATCATGAATATATAAATAATACCAAAGAAAAATCTTAGCACTTTCTCTCAAAATTCATACATGATTGGTTTGAATACATCTTTCCTCATTATTAAAATAATGTTTAATAAATGTACTTCTTCCCAAGAGAGCACATATGGTGTCAAGTCCACTACCCAAAGCCAAATCCAAATCCATTATCACTGAGTTGATTCCAAGTCACAGATACAGTAGAAATAGGGTTTCCAAAGCTATAAACTGCTTCATCTTTCTTCCTCAGAGCACTTGATGGATACAAGTCACTGACCTTTTTGTGAGCATCCTAGTGCTTTTACCAGTGCACCACTAAGGTTTCTGTAATGGTTACTCGAATTCCTTCCATTCAACCCACTATTGGGTTTCCAAGGTGTAAGTAGCAACAAGGAGATTGCCTATCTCTTTCCAGCTGGTGGACTGAAACAGTTCATTCTAGCAACATAATTCAATTCAAGACTGAGCCACTAGAGCCCCCTCAAGATAAGTTAGCACTCAGACATTTCCATGAAATGCACGGTCTTCTTCTCTAGTATGTAACACTCCATTACAGAGAGGAATGTTTCTCCTACTTCACTGAATGGAAAATAAATGTAGTGTAGATAACAGAGCTAAGTAAGTAGGGCTAAAAGAAAGGGCAAGTAGGCAGTAAATCACAATTAGCATAAATAGCTTAACAAAGGTACTTTCTTACCATTTATTATTATAAAATTTGTTTTTTCCATATTGGGAGAGAAAGTATATACTTTTTGTATGGACAAAAGAAAAAAAAATAAAATAAAAAAAATTCAGAGTTCTTTTTTTCACTGGCCTTCAATTGGTCAGTATTCTTAAATTTACCTTCCTCTCATGTGACTATTATTACTACACTATTAGCTAAGTAGTGGAAAGGAGTTGCATTTCCAATCCAAAAGCATATAATTTGAATCCACCAGCTACTCTGTTGGAGAAGGACAAGAGATGAAGACCATGCATTTCATGGAAAAGGCTATCTTAAAAAGAGCCACTGCAATTTATAGCCTCTGAAAATCTGGAGGGTCGGATATAAGTCAGTTCTCACTCAATAGTACAAAACAACAGGCCTATCAAATGTTCATGAATAAAATAACCCAAAAAGGTACAAAGAAAGACAAAAGGTGATAGAGCAGAAAAGACACCCTAAAGATATTCACTGTAATATTATCTGCAATGATAAACATTAGGAAACATATACAGTGGGCACATTATGACTATCATTGCAATTAGCAATGATTATGTAGTAATGTGAAAAAAAAGGTAGATCTGAAGGAAAAATACAAACTATATTAGGGTTACAAATAGGTGTTCTAGTGGCTCAGTAGTAAGGAATCGTGCTGTCAACCCAAAGGCACTAAGTTTAAATCCACCAGGTCTTCACAGGAGAAAGATGGGAAATCTCCTCTCATGCAATTTACTAGCTGAAAACCTACTAACAGTTAACATGAGTTGGTTCCAACTCAATGGTACATAAAGATGTTGCATAAAGAAACCCTAAAAGAGGATTTTTCCTTTTTTTCCCTCTCAAAGACATTTTATTACATTAAAAGTTTCAAGGCTAACTTAAGAAAAAAATTTCAAGGAAAGTTTCAAGAAGAAATAAATTAAAACATTTGTAAATTAAAATGGCATTAGTCATTCCATTAACAAACCAGCATTTCTGATAAAAATCAGGAGGGTCAAGGTCTCAAGCTAAAGAAGACATTCTATGGGAGGAGTTCTTAACCAATGAGGTTCTAACCTCAACCTCCAAACCCAGAAATATTTATAAATTGTCAAACTATAGGTAAATTCAAAGATGTTAAATCTCCTGCTACATGAGAGAAAGATAGGCAATCTTGTCCTATGCAATTAACGGTCTCTGAAGATCCACTGGAGGGTCAACTATGAGTTCCAATTTGATGGTACATAACAACAAAAATCTGTACTGTTAAGTACTGTTAACTGCATCCCTATTAAGAAGCACTGATCTAGTCAGAAATTTTAGTCTCAGTTGTATGCTAGAGATGAGGAAATAAAAGCGTGCCTTGTAACATTCTTCAAGGTATCTCCTACAGGGTGGCTACCTTTTCAACAGGTTTGACTTTATTGTGGAATCATACTAAAGTTAATATGAAATAGCCAATAAATACATGGTAAAATAAAAAAAAAACCAACAATTTTTCTCCTTATTTTTCATTTATGCATGTTTAAAGCAATTGATATCACTGTCATATATCATGGAGTCAACTCACAGCCGACCCTCCAGTGGGTTTTTAAGAGGCTGTAAATTGTACAAGAAGAGACTAACACATCTTTCTCTCAGGAGCAGATATTGGATTCAAACCAACTGTCTTTGAGATGGCTTTATAATTCCTCACCACTAGGACACCAGAGCTCCCTGACATTCAGTAGCCAACATTTACCTTTTAGCATCAAGTTATAACTTCAAGGTATAGATCCTTTGCTTCCTAAAGACTGTGTTTCGTTTCTTGCTGGTAGAACTTACAAACACATGGGAAGCTAATTATATTTTTTTCAACATTGTCTAAAAAACAACTTTCTTAATATGTAAAGAATCAAGATGATGCTTTGCCAACATGTAAATAGACAGCTCAGACCAACCTCAAACAGACTAGCTGTGAGTTCTTCCAATTCCTGTCCAAGCTGATCTCGTACTTTAGACAGTCTTTCACATTCTTCATCTTTTAATTTCAGTTCCTACAAGAATGAAATTCATTTATTCAGGATTTCTGCAATTTTATATAACGTTTAATAATAAAATGACAAAGTATCAATACTGTTCCCTCTTACAAAGCGTTTTTAAAACATCTCTCATTTAGATTTGTCAGATAAATTTACAATTGTAAATAATCCCGATTAATGTTAAATTTTCATTTTCTTCAATCTAATCTTTTAAGAATAAAAATTAAATATGCATGTTACATATAAAAATAAAATTACTTCGTTTTTTTCCTTAACTTTTGTCTAAGTATACTTCTTTGCACACAACAAAATATTTCTTTAATAATGTGTACCCAATTTCAATAAAATGCATTTCTCCATATTTACTTCAAAAATAATTTCTTCATGGATCATTTCACAGATTCTATTATTAACTTAAAATTTCAGTTACGAGACTGTATCCATTAAATATTACAAGGTAAATGATGCAGATCAACATTTAAAATCAAGATGACAGTTAATGATAAAAATACTATCCAGCATTTAAACATGACTTAACAAGTCATGTTTATGGGCAATTTGTACATATTTGTACAATTTGCCCATAAACTTAATAATTTAAATAAATTATTTTATTGTAATGCTCAATATATGCAATTTTATATTTTGAAGTCATCTTAAATCAACCTTTCAAACCCACAGATAAAAAATTTAAGTTCCCATATGAGTAACAATTACATTAATAAAATAGTGGATTGATCATGCTAAATTATTTTTTACTTTGTAATTTTTACTTTTATAAATTTAATGATTTATTCATTGCAAATACCTTTCCCTCCACATTCAATTTTTTAAAGAATTTTTTTTTTCATTTTTTTGCATAGTGGCACATTTTCTTCTCCTACCTCCCCTTCCTCTACCTCTAGACCTCCTCACAATGTACTCCAGGTTCCAGATTGTTGTCATGCATATAGTGCCTAATCATATATTCCTTCCAGACAGTTCTACCCCTCATCTGGGCTAATTAAGTGTTAATCATCTACGCACTCTTTCCCCAGTCTGTCCTCATCTCCCCATCTGTCATATTTCTAACAGAGGTAAAACGTAGTATTTTTCCTTTTGTGACAGGTATTTCACTCAACACGTCCTCCAGGTTGCTCCATGCTGTGTAATGTTTTAGAAGTTGATTTTTTTTTAATGCTGCATAATATTCCATTGCGTGAATATACCACAGTTTTTCTATCTATTCCATGATAGGCACTTAGGTTGCTTCCATCTCTCTGCTATTGTACTTTTTAATTTTATTGTGACAAAACATACACTATGTTAACAATTTCTACGTGTATAAGTAACAATGATTATACTTTTATTATTATGATAATAATGTTGCTGCTGTTTGTTGTTGTTACATTCTTTAAATTGTGCCACTGTTCTCACTATTCTTTTCCAAATCATTTTATTGCAGTTAACATGAAATCAATGCTGAATAGCTTTCTCAGTCCCCTAAAGACAACCATATATATAAACAGGCCCCAGATTATGAAATGATATACAGTCCAGATTATTTCTTCAGCTGAATTTGTAGTAAAGCTGGAAGAGGTACGTACAGTTTGAATTTTGCCTTTTCAATGAGTTTTGTCATCACCTGCAGCAAGTGAAGGTGAGTATGGTAAAGAATGTGTTTCAAGAGCATTGTGGATGGTGGCATTGTGTACTGTAAAGTCAGAGCTGACTCATACCTAATCCTCCAGTGAGTTTTCAGAGATAGTAAATCACATGGAAGAGGAATGCCCATCTTTCTCCAATGAGACTGCTAGTGGATTTGAACCACAAGCCTTTAAGTTGGCAGCACAAGAAACGCAGCACAATACATGCTGAGCTGCTGACCAGTTTATGGTTCAAATCTCCAGATGCTGTTTGAAGGGAGTGGGAGCAGTCTCCTCCTGTAAAGGTTTTCAGAATCAAGATCGATTTGATCATAGTGATAAGAGTCACAAAGTGAATGTAAAATCTATTTAACATTTAAGAGCAATTGTACAAACTGCCCATAAACTGGATGTTAGTAATCCAGGAAATTAGTATATAACCAATGACAATACCTTTAACCGAACCAAGTAAAAGAGAATCCATGTTAATTAAGTCTTGGAATGTAAAAGATTGTGGCTCCACTGGCAATAAAGAAAATGAAAGAGGATTTGCCATTATACCCTACTTGCCTCAGAATCCAAGAGTCAGTAATATTTCAAAATAAAGGGACCTAACTCAGAGCAGAAGATGTAAAACAAAAGGTGCAAAAGTTTCAGAGGATGCATGGGGCAAGTGAGCCCAAAAACACACACGTGCAGTCAAGACAGCAATGACAGTACTGTGATGCTCCAAACTTCCAAGAATCTCAGAAGTACCCAGCAAAGAATAAATTCAGAAAGACAAAGCTTCAACTAGGGGAATACTCTTAGAATCTGAAATCAACTTAGACAGGACATGAACAATGAAGGCAGGAAAACAACTAGAAGTTGGGGGCAGAAAAAAAAACAACTTCCAAGGAAACAAGATTCCAGAAATAATGAAGAACAATTTATGTATCTCAAAATTAAATGTTAATCCTGTTAAGATCTCACTAACACTGGGCTGGAGGATAAAACTGTCTCAAACAAATCCTAAAACTGAAAGACAGAAAGTGACACAAAAATAATATATCAAACTCTGAAGAATCCCAATTACAACAGAGAAAACTCTTGAAACTTAAAACTCAGAAAGCTTACGTGGCCCTATGTTATCCCATTTACTCTTCTTGCCAATAGTTAAAGAAAGCGTATTTATTTAATCTTGGGAAATAAAAAAAGTGACATGTAAAGTTCTCATAAGAAAAAGGGTAACTGGCTAGGGTGACTTTGGGTGTCATTGTCATGTTTCTAACTGCAGTCTCCTTTGCCAAGAGCAAGTCAAAAAACATTCTGGTAAGAATGGTAAGCCAAGCTGGGACAGGTCACGCCTTCAACACCAAGAGAGGTAAACTGCAGGAGAAACTGACTCTTTTGCATTATGATCCCATCCTGAATAAAAAAGTCCTTTTTGTGGAACAGAGGAAAATACGCTCCCTCTAAACAATGGATTGAAAATGAATTTGATTTATAAATGAGAAGACTAGAGGGTGGGATACCAATTCAGAAATCCTGTAACATGGAATAAAAGAAGAGGAAATGGCCTGGGATCACGGCCTCCTGTGATTTGAAGGCCATTGTGAAGGAAAACAATGCAGTGAAAGGTTCTTCAAATTAGGACACAGATCATTGCATCACATTTATTCATCTTGCTAGATATTTTTATAGCCCTTAATAAAAAAAATTAAAAGAAAAAAAGAAAAAGGGTAACTACAAAGCTATCTATAAATGAAGTAAAATCTTATCAGAAGGGTATCAAACATTAACAGAACAATGTATTCTAGAAGACTTACATTTTTTTTTAATTATTATTAAATTTTATTAGTTTTAATGAACATTTACAGAGATTTTGGGTTTTCATTCATTCATTGTTGCACTGTTTTCTCTACCCTCCTCCCCAGTTCATTCTTCATCCCCCCATGTCTGTTTTAACTGTCCAACTGCCACAGTGAGAAGACTTACACTTTTAAGACATGCAAGAAAATAAGAATTTTCTATTTATCCAGGTGTCCTTCAAATATAAAAACCAGAGACAAAGTGCTTTTAATCTACAGGACCTTATAGAACCTCTAATAAATCTGATTTTAATGTGTTTTAGTGTCTTTCTCTTTGAGTTCTGTGAAGCTTGTCTCTCTGTATGACTTTCCTAGCATTGATGACTGCCTATATGGATGAGTGGGACTATGTGAGTGAGGCATGTTAGCTTATCCACAAAGATACTATCTACCCATCCACAAGGAGATTGGCGAGCCTTGATAATCTACAAGAGGATTGGCTAGTCTTGTCAACAAATTAAACAGTTTTGACTGCAGAGAACAGATTTTTTTCCCAGCCAGAGAAGAGAGACCTCCCCCATCCTGATGAAATAGAGGACATTCTTCAGGATGGCAACAGCAGCTACAGCTTAAGTGGAGAAATGAGATGATACCTTGAGGGTAGAAGGGAGGCAATACTGGCAGGACTGACAACTTTGCAGCAGTATTGGGGAGAAACCAATATTGATAGGACTGAAACACTTCGTTGGAAAATTTGGAGGGAAGCCAATACTGGCAAGCCTGAGAACTTGATAACGCTGAGAGGCTAGAAGCTGAGGTGTCTGTGTGCACATTTTGGGAGTTGTCTTGACTGTATTCTACTATTACCCTGTATTGTTGTTGTTGTTGTATACTACTGAGTTGGAAATAACCCACAGTCGAACCCCCAGAGGATTTTCATTAGCAGTAAATGGCATAGGAGGAGACTGACCATCCTTCTCCCGTGGAGCAGCTTGTGGCTTCTAACTGTGTGCCTTTGGGATTGTAGCTTCTTGCCACTAAGCCACCAGTTTCTTTTTAAGAAATACATCTTCATTCAGATCAATGTCCATGAATACATATGTTAGTTCTTATAGCAAAGATGTAGCTTTAAACTATTCAAAAGCAGAAAGGACTGAAGTATGCTTGATCCAAGTCAGCATATTTTCCATCATTTCATATGCACGCAAAGATAAAGAACAAGGAAGACTGAAAAATTGATGTTTCATTGACTATGCAAAGGCATTTGACCATGTGGATAACAATAAACTGTGGTTAACTCTGAGAAGAACGGGAATCCCAGAACATTTGATTATGTTTATGTAAAACTTACAGTTGGACCAAGAGGCAGTCATCAGAATAGAGCAAGGGAACTCTGCATGGTTTAAAATCGGGAAGGGTGTACACCAGGGATGTGTCCTATCTTCCATACCTTTTCAACCTATATGCAGAACAGAACATCCAGGAGGCAGGGCTCTTTGAGGAGGAATGGGACATTAGGGTTGGAGGAAAACTCATCAATAGCCTGCGTTATGCAGATGACACAACCTTGCTTGCTGAAACTGAAGAGGACTTGAAGCAA